TGCCCCGGTCCCTGCCCTTCCTGCCAGTGGTGCCGGTGTTTCAGAGCCGAAGCCGGTGCGTGCAGAGCCCGGCTGTGCGGCGGGCGCTAACCGCTGCCTCTCTCCTGCTCTTGCAGTTAGCACCGAGCTGAGTCAGGGCTGCGCCAGAGGCTGCGACCTGTGCTCCGAGTTCAACGGGTGCCTGAGATGTTCCCCCAAACTTTTCATCCTTCTGGAGAGGAATGATATCCGGCAAATTGGGATTTGCCTGCCATCTTGTCCACTGGGATACTTCGGCCTTCGCAATACAGACATGAACAAGTGCATCAGTGAGTACGGGGTGGGAGGGAAAGGGCGAAATGTGGCGGGGGGTGGTGCTCTGCAGTGCTTTGCAGGGGATCGTGCCGCCTCCAGTCAGGGGAGGCTGTATGGCTGTATCGAAGGGGAGGAGGTGGTGCTGAGCAGGGCAGCGATCTACCCAGGGAATAACCCCATAATCTGTGCTGATGTTGGCTAATGCAGCTTTGGTGCCCAGGCGCTTCCCTGCCGTGGCACCGTGCAGCCGGCGCAGCGTGCAGCCAGGCCGAGAAGCTCCTTCCCTTTGAGCAGCCGCTAGGCACTGCCCGCACGGCGCCCTCAGAAGCGGGGTGAGCGTCCGCTGCCCCACATCAGCCCTTCCATGCAGGTTTTGATGGGAGTTTTGGCCTTCCTGGTCTTTGAGAGCCTCTGTGCTGTGGGCAGGCGGTGGTAATGGACCAGCGGTCCGCTAGAGCAGAGAGCCACTGGCAAAGCCTTCAGGGCTGGGTTCCCCCAGCAGCATGCTCAGCACCGCCCGGGAACGCTGTGGATGTGGCATCCTGCAGGACATTTGGGAAGCTCTGTTACCTGGGCTGCCAGACTGGCACCCTCTTTCTTTCGGAGGAAGGAGGAGGAGAAGGGAGATCCTTTCAGCTTTTAAGGTACTGCTTGCACAAGTACCTTCTCTCCTCTTCTCTGCTCGTTCAGCACAGCCAAGCAGCTCCCTGGATGAGATCCTTGGCCTGGGGCTGCCTCTTTCAGCCAGAGCACCAGAGAGAAGCTGGATATGGAAAAATGCAATCACTTCCCTGGCAGTTTCATGCAAACCACCCTCATGGCCAGATTTCCATCTAACTCCTTTTCTTTGTAGCCTGTGCTGTAGCTGCAGCTGGAGCAGTTGATACGGGACTTTATTCTTTGCACTGTCCCACTTTGGCTGAACACCAGCCCAAACCTTTCCCACCCTGCCTGATTTCAATCTGGCGGCGGCTGCTGCTGGCGATGAGAGCTGCAGCTCGGTGGCTCTGCCCGTACCAGGGAACGGTGCAAAGAGAACTGACTTGTATGACAGCAGCAGAACCAGGGCTGGCAGGGCCTTCAGAGGCTCCCCCCCGCCGGTGGCAGATGTCCTGCAGCCAGGAGCCAACTCCAGTTAGCAGTCAAGAGCTTCCTGAGGCTTTTGCTCGCATCAGACTACATCACAGCTTTGTGGTTTTTTTTTTCCCCAGAATGCAAAATTGAGAACTGTGAGTCCTGTTTCAGTCGAAACTTTTGCACAAAATGTAAGGAAGGTTTGTATTTGCACAAAGGGAGATGTTATGTCACATGCCCCGAAGGCTACTCTGCTGCCAACGGCACCATGGAGTGCAGCAGTCCTGGTAAGTGATGCTGGGGCACCTTTGAGCTTTCTGTGCATCTGTCGGGCCCAGTCCCTTGTATTGCTACCGTTTGGTTTCGATGATAAAACGAACCCCTCAGAGGCAATGGCTCGTCCCACCCATGTCGTGTGGGTGATGGTACAGGTCAGACCCTGCCCTTCAGAGGGCACAGCCCTCTGGAAACCAGCCTAGATGGGGAGCAGCACCCCAGCATTGCTGCCGCCTATTTGCGAAGCGGGGCTCAGGGTTTGTGCAGTACGGCAAGGAAGGGGGTGCCTTGAAAACTTAGGAAGCTGCTGGGGAAACACACGTACCCTTCAAGCCTAGATGTGACGGTGTGCAAGGGCTCTGGGAAGTCCTGAGGCAGCAACAGAGAAACGAGAGTTACTGCTGGCCTCTCTTGTTATCTGGCAGCACAATGTGAAATGAGTGAGTGGGGGCCCTGGGGGCCCTGCTCCAAGAAGAGGAAGCTCTGTGGCTTCAAGAAGGGCAACGAAGACCGAACGCGGCGGATTCTGCAGGCTCCCTCCGGAGATGTGTCCCTGTGTCCTGCCACCACGGAGGTGCGGAGATGCACCATGCAGAAGAACCAGTGCCCCGAAGGTGAGCAGACGTGGAATATCTCACCATCCTTCCCCAGCATCCTTTATTTGTCAGGCACAAGTATCCAGTATCATAAATGCTCTGTGCATGCCACTACCCCTCTGCAGCACAGGGAACACAACGTGACAGCAGCTAGAAAGACCCCTGGGTGGAACCGGCACAGCCCCCCGGGTGGGTGATGCTCAGCGTGGCTTGCCACGCGTCCCACAGGCTTGCAGGTATTTTAGTTTCTTCCCTGGCTGGAGAGCAGCAAGGCAGCTGAGCAGCCGGGGGTGCGCGCCTGTGCGGTGAGGGGAGTCGTCTTCTCCTCTACCAGAATGTTTAGGTCTGCGTTGTTCCCAGGAACTAGAGTGTCTTCGGGATGAATGGTGGTTTGGTCATCCTCTTACGGGATGGACGAGGCTTGCAGCAGGGTTTAGTGTTTTGAGGGGAAGTGGTTCTGAGCAGTGACGAACACCCCAGGGGGTAAAAGCTGGGCAGGGGGAGGCAGGCAGGGCCATTCTGTTCCTGCGGTGGGCACAGCCTGCCTTAGCTAAGGGGCTTGCTGTGCAGCCGTGGAGCAATGCAAGTGTTAACGCTTCTGCTGGAGACCGAGAATCACCAGCCTAAATCCCGATTTGATCCTTCTTCCCCGTTTATATTTAGGCAACAGCTCGCAATGCAAAGCACAGCCTGGCAGATTGGGTGGCTCTCGGGCACCTCTGCGCGTGGGGAGGGGCGCAGGCCTTTCGGGCCACCCCCGGCAGCAGTGGGCCACGGGTGGCTCGCTCTGCTGGAGAGCCTCACGGTGCCCCTTTGCTTTACTGCAGGGAAAAGGAAGAAAAAGGAAGAGCAAGGAAAACAAGATAATGCGAATGGGAACAGAAATCGGAAGGACACCAAAGACACTAAGTCTGGCACCAAGAAGAGGAAGAGCAAACAGAGAGGGGCCGCGGTGCCCACGACGTCCGCTAGCCCTGCCCAGTAGCTGCCCCTTTACATCACCTGATGGCAAGACTTCATTGCTGCTATGTATATGAAAGCTTTATGGAACCAGAGCACTGCTACACAACACGTACACATGTCCAGAAAGACAGACATATACTCCCAGACTGACCCACAGACCCGACAGAAACCACATACACAATCCTTAAGGAGGCTGCACACACCCCCACCACCCGGCTCGGTGGAAGGACGCTGCCGAGGAGTGGGAGCGCAGACGGAGGGAAGCCCAGCTCCCCGGGGCTCCACAGGGTACGCTGCGGGGAGGAGAGAGGGAGCACAAGTCAGTGAAGGACCCGGACACGAGACTTTGTGACCAAAGGCCTCAACTCAAGACCGGGCGCGTGGCCCCTGCGCCGCACGGCTGCAGCCGGAGGGACAAGACCGGACCCACACGGCCGCTCTCCCCAACCTGGGACCTGGACTCACGCAAGGGCAGTGGCCTCTTTCTCTTCCCCCCACCCTTTATTTTGTGTTTTAAGCTGTATGACTTTATCATTGCAAATACATGTTAAACGTTTGTGGTAAGAGGTCAGTGGTATCTGCCCTGAATCTGCTTCAAAGAGTTATTTCAAATTAAAAAAAAAACAAAAACCAAAATGACAACCAGCTTCCTGAGTGTGTGGTTCATGCCTTGGCCCCTATGGAGGCTGGTGTCCCACAGGACAGAGACTCACTTGCGGAAGGGAAACTCACCAAAGCTTTAAGAAAATCCCAGAAAGTGTTGCCAGCTGCACTGCAGCCACAACTGAGCCGCCCTGTGTTCGCAGGACCCCAGCTGTGCGCCGCCGAGCCCCCCGAGGAATTTCCCATTGAAGGATACAGTTAACATGCAGCAGATTGAGAAAATGAGAGGTTACAACAAACCGCAGGTTGCTGAAGCGCTGTGACTCCGCTTGTACAGTCACAGCTGCGGGACTCCATCCCGGGCTGGGGACACGCTCGTCCGCCTGCCCGGACGCCACCCCGGCCCCTAGCAGGAGGGAAGGCGGGCGGGAGGGGGAAGGCACAGTTCGGGCTCTGCAGAAGAGAAGCAAACTGTTCGGTTTGGTAGGAGCTACTGGTCTGCATGCCACCGACTGGAATTCCCTGGATTCAGCACAAGCTCTGCAAGAGCCGACACCTGGGCGGAGGAACCGGGACGAGGAGAAACCTAACGAGACCTGCGCGGGGCGCGTGTGAACGCTGCCATCTCTGCACGGAGAGCTCTACCCTCGGCAGCGTCACGAGGGGCCGTACCGCGCAGTTGCCCTTAGGTTTTAAAACGTGCTTCCTCGATATATGGATGTGCAGACGTTTAATTCCTCTAGAGTTCAGCAAAACCCCTCTGGTCCTGAGGGATGGGGCCCGGGGAGGTGCCGTGGCTCCCAGAGGTGTGGCCGGGGTGGATCGGTGACGTGCTGCTGAAGCTCCCAGCTCCCCCAGTAAGGTGATGGGCAGGGAAAACGTCACCCCAAAGCTAAACCTGGCAAACGCAATCTCTGCTGCGCTTGCCTTCGTACCACCTTCTCCGCTCTGCGGTTTTGGAGGGCAGAGCGAGCCAGCGAGCGCGCAGGGACGCCGTCGGGAGAGCCCCCCGCTCGCTCCCACCGGCACCTGCCCGCCCGGGTCCTCTCCTGCGAAGAGCCGGCGGTTTGTGGCGCCCGCCGAGGACTCGGCCCCGGCAGAGGGCACCCGAACTCTCCCCTCGCCCCCG